TTCCCTTCCCTTTCCTTTCCTTCCCTTCCCTTCCCTTCCCTTCCCTTTCCTTTCCTCTCCACTCCTCCCCTCCCCTCCCCTCCCCTCTCCTCCCCTTCCCTTCCCTTCCTCGTCCCTTTCCTTCCCTCCCCTTCCTTTTCCTTCCCTTCCTCATCTCTTCCCCTTCCCTTCCTCGCCCCTTCCCTTCCTCATCCCTTCCCTCTCTCTTTTTCTTCCCTTCCCCTTCCCACTTTCTTCCCCTGATAGCGATTTTAAGGTAATCTGAAGCAACAAGGTGGAAAGGAGTCATTAGGAAGCTTTTTTTGATTCTGTACGCTGGAGTTCGTGCAACACATAAACCATGAATTACGGTTAGCAGGCGCCCCTGCTCATTTTGCAGAATGCACTGTCCAGAAACAAACCAAACACACATTATGCTTCGTTCTAATGGCCAGGTTTGCGCAACGCGCTCGGTGTGTTTTTATATACCTTGCCATTTTTCTTCTTCTTCCATTACATCCACCCGATTTGGCAGCAAATTGGGAGAAGCTTTTCCACAGGCGGCTCAGATTTTGAGGCTGTTCTCCCTGCCCTGAAGGCCCCCGCAGCTATTGGCTGAATCTGTTCTTTAATAAGGGCTCCACTCACACTTGCCGAAAAAGCTCAACCCGTGGCCCAAACCTATCCATTAACATTCATGAGAAGTTAATTGCCTGGTCTTTAAACAGCCTCGGGTCTCACTAGCAACCAAAAAGCAAATTCCAAAGCAGTTCCAGAGCCAGAGGTCGAAATGCTGAGAAAGTAGTCAGATCAGCTCTTTGAACCCGAGGGGTTTTAGCTGAAGCATCATTCTAGAAGGATCTGAGAAGGCAGGTAAGGAAAGTTTTGGAGTCATGGCTCCAAGGTTCGCAAGAAGGTTGGAGAGCACAGCCAAGAGACTGACAGAATAACAGAGCTGGAAGGGAATGTTGGAAGTCTTCCAATCCTATTTTCTTGCGTTAAACATGGTGGGTGCAGCTGCGTTCTGCAGACTTGTTCTTCTAGACCAGGGATGGCGAACCTTTTTGTTGTGGTGGGCCAAAAGTGCGCGCATGCTGGCACCCACAATGCAATGCGCCCTGCCCCCCCCCGTGCATGAGACGGAACACCTGCACTGCGCATGCGCGCGCCTCCCAGCTGATTTTTTTTCCCCATTTGACGCCATTTTCGCCCTCCCGGAGGCTTGAGGGAAGCCTCTGCAGCCTCGGGAGGCTGAAAAATGGGCCTTCCAGAAATACCGGAAGTGCCTGTTTTCAGCCTCCGGAGGGCTTCTGGAGCCCAGGGGAGGCTGTTTTTGCCCTGCCGGAGGCTTGAGGAAAGCCTCTGCAGCCTCGGGAGGCTGAAAAAGGGCCCATTTGGGCACTTCCGGTATTTCTGGAAGGGCTGTTTTTCGGCCTCCCGAGGCTGCAGAGGCTTTCCTCAAGCCTCCGGGAGGGCAAAAATGGCCTCAAACGGGCTGAAAATCAGCTGGGAGGTGCTCCCATGCGCAGTGCAGGTAAGTTTAACGGGCTCGCGTGCCATAGGTTCGCCATCACGGTTCTAGACCTTTTCTCTTCAGTGTGTCCTCCCCCATTCAGAATACAAAATAACAGAGTTGGAAGGGACCTTGGAAGTCTTCTAGTCCCTGCTGAGGCAGGAGACCTTCGACCATTTCAAACAAATCGTCATCCAAACTCTTCTTGAAGACCTTCACTGTTGGAGCATCCACAACTCCTGGAGACAAGTTTCCACTGATAAAATTGTTGTCACAATTAAATTTCTCCTCAGTTCTAAGTTGCTTCTCTCCTCGATGAGTTTCCACCCGTTGCTTCTTGTCCTGC